GCTTCCTCCACAATGAACCACCAACATAGAGCATATATAACCAAACTTCAAACAGATCCTCTCTGAAACACTAGAATTAAATGAAGAAATGATAGATCTTCTCTAAAACACTAGAATTCTTTTTTTGGAGAGAGAGTCTCACTTCATTGCCCTTGGTAGAGTGCTGTGGCGTCAAAGCTCACAGCAACCTCCAACTCCTGGGCTTAGGCAATTCTCTTGCTTCAGCCTCTCAAGTAGCTGGGACCACAGGAACCCACCACAACACCTGGCTGTTTTTTGTTGCAGTTTGGCCAGGGCTGGGTTCGAACCCGCCACCTTCGGTATATGGGGCCAGTGCCCTCTCACTGAGCCACAGGCACTGCCCTAAAACACTAGAATTAAATGAAGAAATGATATATCCTCTCTAAAACACTAGAATTAAATGAAGAAATGATTCCACACATTCCCTAGCTGCCTGTATATAGCCACTGAAAGCAACTTTGTTCTTCTCAGTAGCAGGGCTATATAGCACATGCACTGGCACCCCAACCTAAGCATTACAGCAGTAGCCTAAGGATCATCCCACCCCTACCTACCACAACCAGTTCTTGCATGCATCACTGAGGGGCTGATCACAGGTCCACCTGATCTAGCTCCAATCCTTAGTGCCTAAGCATGCTATTCAAAGGCCTGGGGACTGCCAGACTCAGTCCCCCACCATTAGCACTGGAGCATTCCTCTTAGGAGCCTGAAGTCAGGCCCATTCTACCTGCCACTACCACCACAACTGACACCCATCTTCTCATGCTACCTGTGGGTCCTAGGAATTGGCCTGCCCATTGTGTGGCAGGTGCCACAAACATCAGCATGGCCTACTTGGAAGCCAAAAGATTTTCCTGAAACTGCCATCACCCATACCACACATACTTCCCAGGGGCCTGAGAACCCACCCAGTTACTCAGCCCACCACTGCCACTACCAGCTTCCAAGTTTGCAGGCCCAAGTATCAGCCCATTTAGACCCTCTAACACCAGTACCAATTTACAGTGCCCTGGGACTCCAGGACAGCCCACTGCTCACTGGTAATCCCTATCCCCAAGAAAACTTCAGCACAACCTCTACTAACCACATCCTAAACCAATAGGGAAATCACACAACCACTTACAGTGTTAATAATCAAAGAAATCATATGGAGACTGCACTATTGTATGCACCCATACCAAACAGTACTCTACCCAACCAACACCATAGCTATATCTTCAAGAAAATGTCCTAAATGACTGTTAGGTCAAGGAAGAAATTAAGGAAAAAAAATTTTTTTTAAAAACTGAAACAAGAAAAAGAAGATGCCAATAAAAATCAAGAATGAAAAGGAGACATTACCAGATACCACTGAAATACAGAAGAAGATCATCAGGGACTATTATAAATATCTATACACTGGCAAACTGGAAACCTGACAAAAATGGGAAGCTCCTGGACACACAGCCCACCAAGACTGAATCAAGAAAAGACTGAAAACTGGAACAGATTTAAGCAGTAATAAAAATTCTCCCAATGAAGAAAAGTCCAAGACCAGTTGGCTTCACTGCCAAATTCTACCAGAATTTCACAAAATAATACCAATTCTCCTCTGACCATTCCAAAAACTTGGAGAGGGGAGAAATTTCCCTGACTCATCCTGTAAGACCAATATGACCCTAACATCAAACAGAGACACAGCAACAGCAAAGGAAATCTCAGGCCACTATCCCTGATGAACATACATGTAAAATTCCTCAGCAAAATGCTAGCAAGCCGATTCAACAGCACATCAAAGAGATAATACACCATGATCAAGGGGGATATATGTCAAGGATACAATGATGGTTCAACATAGGAAAATTAATAAACATGATACAGTCAACATGAATGAAGGACAGAAACTATATGATCATCTCAATAGATGCAAAAACAGTTCAACATCCTGTCAGGATAAAAACCTCTCAATAAACCAGTCAAAGAAGGAACATACTTCAACATAATAAAGGCCATATCTGACAAACCCACAGCCTATACTGTACTCAATGGGGAAAAGCTGAAAACCTTTCCTCTAAGAACTGGTACAATATAAGGATGCCCACTTTCAGCACACCAATATGTACAACCAGAGCAATCAGGAAAGAGAAAGAAATAAAAGGCATTCATATTGGAAAAAAGGAAGTAAAATTGTCCCCCATTGTCAACCTAGAAAAATACAAAAACTCCATCAAGAAACTTATGAGTGTATCTGATGAATAAATTCAGTGAAGTTGCTGGATCTGAAATCAACATACAAAAATGAGTACAGTCTCTACATGCCAATAATGTAATAGCTGAGAAAGCAAGAAGGCAATCCTAGTTACAATAGCTGCAAAAAAATAAGATGCCTAGGAATAAATTTAAGAGGTGAAAGACCCATATGAGGAAAACTACAAAACGTTGATGAAAGAAGGTAAAGAGGACATAAATAAATGGAAAGACATCTCATGCTCATAGATCAGAAGGATTAACATCATTAAAAAAGACCATACTAACCAAAGCAATCTACAGATTCAGTGCAATCTCTATCAAAATATTAATGTCATTTTTTCACAGAAATAGAAAAAAGCAAATGCTGAAATTCATTTGGAACCAAAAAAGAGCCTGAATATTCAAAACAATCCTGAACAACTACCTGACTTCAAAACATATTACAAGGATTTAGTAATCAAAACAGGATGGTATTAGTATAAAAAAAGACACATAAACCAATGGAAAAAAATAGAGAACTCAGAAATAAAATCTATGTATTACAGCCAACTGATTTTCAACAAACATGCTGAGAATGTTCATTGACACCTTCTTCAGTTTATGGTGCTGGGAAAATTATTTATCCACATGCAGAAAAATGACACTAGACCCTTATCTTTCACCACCTACAAAAATAAGCTTAAGTGGATTAAAAACTTCAACATAATACCTGAAACTATAAAACTTCTAGAAGAAAACATAGGATAAATACTCCAGAATGTTAGTGTAGGCAAAAATTTTATGAGATAATACCTCAAAAGAAGAAGCAACAAAGACAAATGGTATTATATTAAAATAAAAGGCTTCTGCTCAAAGGAAACAACAGAGTGAAGCAACAACCTATTCAAAAGTGGAAATATTTGGAAATTATTTATCCACCAGGGGACAAATATCCAGAATATACAAGGAACACAATTCAACAGCAAAAAATACAATTAAAAGTGGGCAAAGGACATGAATAGACAGTTCTCAAAAGAAGACTTATAAATAGCCAACAGGTTTATGAAAAAAATTCTTAATATCACCAATCATTAAGGAAATACAAATCAAAACCACAATGAGATATCATCTTACCTAGTTAGAATGGCTATAACTAAAGATGAAAAATAACAAATGCTGTTGAGGACACAGAGAAAAGGAAACCCTTGTGCACTGTTGGTGGGAATGTAAATTAGTATAGCCTCTATAGAGAGTTCTCAGAAAATTAAAAACTACCAAATGATCCAGCAATCCTAACACTGGGTTTTTACCCAAAGGAAAGGAAATCAACATATCAAAGTTGCATGTCTATTACAGCACTGTTCACAACAGCAAAGATATGAAATCAACCCAAGTGTCCATCAGTGAATAAATGGATAAAGAAAACGTAGTATATATATACAATGAAATAGTCTTAATTCTTAGAAAAGAATGAAATGATGTCATTTACAACATGGATGGACCTGAAGATCATTATACTGAGTGAAATAAGCCAGACATAGACAAATCTCACATGTTCTCACTTATATATGGGAGCTTTAAAAAGTTGATTTTGTGGAGGTAGAAAGTAGAATAATAGATACCAGATGCTGGGAGGGGTATTTGGATGGGGGAGGATAAAGAGAGATCGGTTACTGGGCGCAAACATACAGTCAGACAATAGGAATAAATTCTAATGTTCAAAAGTATAGTAGGGTTACTATAGTTAACAATTTATCATATATTTCAAAATAGCTAAACAAGAAGACTTGAAATGTTCCTAACACCTAGAAATGATAAATATTCAATATAGTGGACATTCTAGATACCCTGACTTGATCATTACCCTCTATACGTGTAAAAAAATTCACTTTTTCTCCATAAAAAAGTACAAGTATTATGTATCATTTTTTAAAAATCAAACCAAATCTGATAGAAAGTCAGCCAAAAACAATTAGAAATTATCAAAACTATTTGAAATGTGACTTTACAATTTATTGTAAGACATTATTTCATTATCTCATCCCTTTTAATTTCATGTTTTATATCTATATAATACAAGTAACTATAATTTACAAATAAGCATACATAAGCAACAAGATAGGATTGTATCGACTAAAGAGGTTTGACTTTAAATAACTATTCTAATACCCAAGTGAATTCAAACCTACAGTCAGAACAAACATCCTCGTCTACAGCATTATATTTAACATTAATTGTTAAAATGGGTGAACCAGAATTTGCTTTCATCCAGTTTAATCAATGCTAAAACAAAAAAAAGAAACATTCTTCTTAGAATTTTGATTGAATAATTGGACTGAATGAAATTCTCAAGGCTTAAGATAGAAGGTTAAGTTGGTGATCAGAAAGTACAAAGAGTAACACTTGTAAAAAGTTTACATTTAGAAAATGTTCTCGTGAAGAAGTAATTACATTTGATCCTCACAAATATTTGAAGTGATTGATGAGAAATCTGAGACTCAAAGATAAATAACTTGCCCCCAATTAAGTGACAGAAGTAGGCAAGTCTCCTGAGTCTATATCCTGTGCTCTTTGCAAACTTTACTATCTCTGTCCTTAATACCCTAAACTAGAAGAGGCTTCATGTAGGTGCTCATCATTGAAAAAAGTCAGGAATACAACATACCACTCAGAGGAATCAGATGTGCTTTGTTCACGGTTCTTATACAATGCAGCTTTCTTTCTGAGCACTTATCTGAATTTAATAAGCTTTGTTATGTTCATACATCTAGGTTTCCGCAGACGTGCAGCTCCAGTTACAAGAAGGCAGTTCCCACATGGTGCACATAGAATGGATTACTTGCATTTTGAGGATGATAGCCGTGGATGGTGGTTTGACATGGATATGGTGATCATCTATATTTATTCAGTGAACTGGGTCATTGGATTCATTGTTTTCTGCTTTCTTTGCTATTTTTTCTTTCCGTTTTAGGAATTTGCCTAGTTTACTACAGTTGAACAATCATAAATGATGTAAATAACAATTGCTTAAACATTTTTAAATGTGCTTTGAAATTTTTATAATGTTGTGCTATATAAATTGTTGGTGTTTATAGAAAGCCTGAGAATAAGGGACTTATTTATTAATGTTTTCTCATGTAACAAGATGGATAGATTATTCAAGAGCTAATCTATCTGGAACTTAGCAACAATGCACTATGAATTTCATAGCTGTTCTTAGTTTAGGATTTGGGGTTCTAATTTTACTATGTAACTTTTATACTTATTTTGATTGTAAAGACTGAGGTTTTCTCTTAAAAATAGTAAAAATACAAAAAGAAATGATAATCGAAGTAGACAGTATCTTAACTGATAAAATATTCGGTCATTCATCACTTATTCTCAAGCAAATTACATGCATTAAAGATAATATTTTCTGGGAACTAAACTAGCAGGGTATATTCAGTATTGGTTTCCAAATATCTTTACTTAGGTTTCCTACTATTTCCAAGAAAACTGACTATCCTTTTTATACAGACCTAATAAGTGCAATAATTTTCATTGTTATAAGCAGAACAGTAAAACTAATACTACAAACTATAAGACTACCCCCTACCAATGGACACTTTAGAAAGCTATATTAACACTTTCCAAATGGCAGGATAAATAACCTGAAGAAATAAAAAACTCACCAATTTTCAGTAGTCTGAAAGAAAAATGCATGTCCAAAATGTAATTAATTTAGTGATTTATTTAACTAGAAGATTGTCAAAGATATTGTAACTGTGCAATAAAAGAATGGCTTTTAAATTTTTATTGTTATTAAGTGACTTAATGTCTGTAATAAAGAATTATTGGAAATAGGCTTATGGATTTATAGAAAAAACACACTGACATTTATTTCTACCTATAATTATATAATCTTGTAATATTTTTCTTATTAAAGGAAAAAGGAGATCTGAATCATTACAATGTGGGAAGAAACAGGGGCAGGTATTCCAATTTTAAAAGTGAGAAAACTCAAGTACAAAGAGGTGTGAGTTTATTTACTCAGTTACTCGGGTGATCTGTGGGAAACCTAAGACAAGAGTTTTGATTATGAACTATTAATCCAACATTACTACACTATGATACCATATACCTGATAATTCAATAGGCATATCTTTACATAAAAGAAATGAATCTCTCATGGCACAACAAATACCACCACCATCCAAAAAAAGTTGAGATCAGCCAGGCTTTTAACAGTTCAATCTATGAAAAGTCAAAATTTAGCCTAATTTCTCTTTTTCTTTTGAGACAGAGTCTCACTATGTCACCCTGGGTAGAGTGCTGTTGCATCACAGCTCATAGCAATAGCACTCTACCCAGGGTGACATAGTGAGACTCTGTCTCAAAGAAAGGGCTTAAGTGATCCTCTTGCCTCAGCTTCCCAAGTATCTAGGACTACAGGCACCTGCCACAACGCCCAGCTACTTCTTGGTTGTAGTTGTTGTTCGGCAGACCCAGGCTGGATTCGAACCTAACAGCTCCGGTGTATGTGGCTGGCACTCTAGCCGCTGAGCTACAGACATTAAGCCAGTCAAAATTTAGCCTAATTTCTATTAACTATACTTCAACAAAAGCACTTCACTGATGGTATGTAAATGTTCTAATAAATATAATAGAATGTTACAAATTTGTATTTGAATACTGTTTTCATTTTGTTTACAATTATATCCATAAGTGTACATTAAACATCATCCGATCCAAAAAGCAAAAGACTAAATACAATATAGAAACAGATAAATTTGTTCTCATGAATGGATATTTATAATCATTAACTTATTGCTCAAAGTAAAAATATAAGAGATAATGTCAGCCCTTATATTGAGATATGTGTTAAGATTTAAAACTAACAAAACATGTATAGAGAGAACACAATATTTTAAATTTTTTTTTAATAAATTGCATCCATTTCCCAAGGAACTCCTAGATTGAGCATTTGTTCTACCAAATATGTATTGCTTCATGTCTAAATGACTTTAAAAGTTTAATTTAATTACATACAAATTAAAGTAAATTAGTAGTATACAGATTTCTCAGAAACAAAGTTGATTTGCTATATATTTGTTATAGGGATACTTATCAGCAATATCCCTAGTTTATAGTTCTTCACCTATAAATTTTATACAAATATACATAACAGCCTCAAATAAATATAATGCCCTTAAAACAAGAAAGCATAATTTGGGCTCAATGCCCATAGCTCAGTGAGTAGGGTGCCGGCTCATACACTGAAGCTGGCAGGTTCGACCCTGGCCCAGGCCTGCTAAACAACAATGACAGCTGTAATCAAAAAATAACCAGGCGTTCTGGTGGGTGCCTGTAGTCCTAGCTACCTGGGGAGTAAATCATGGCCTGTAGTCCCAGCTACTCGGGAGGCTGAGGCAAGAGAATTACTTAAGCCCAAGAGTTTGAGGTTGCTGTGAGCTGTGACGCCACAGCACTCTACTGAGGGCAACATAGTGAGACTCTGTCTCAAAGAAAAAAAAAGCATAATTTGGAAGTGCATTCTTTTTTTTTTTTTTTTTGGCCAGGGTGGAGTTTGAACCCACCACCTCTGGTATATGGGGCCGGCAACCTACTCCTTGAGTCATAGGCACCACCCTGGAAATGCATCCTAAATTGTTTAGTTATAAACATCTTGATTAATAACTTGATCTGAAAATTATGTCATTAGCATATTAAAATTAAAAGCAAATTTAGAAAATTATAGATCATTAATTTTACTTTAAAATGTTTTTAATTTTTATACAAATGGAGCTAAAAACTGCTATTAGTAAGTATACCCATTTCCGAAAGCTGCAAGTTTATAAGAAGCCAGATAAAACCAGAGATGAAGAGAAACTATTTTCTTCTGATATGTAGAACATGATAGGCATTCAATAGATAATTGGATTTGTAAGTAAAATACATGGATGAGCTTTAAAGTAAAACAAATGCTGTTCTTTGGCGCCTTTCACAGAATTAATCATATAAAAACTCATTTTCCAATAAAAAAGAAAAAGAAAAATTCTAAAACTAATGTACAAAATTTTCCCTAGTATCATAGTATTTAATAAATTTAATTTTATGAGCTATCACTAACAATTTCTATTTCTGCTGAACTTTACTGTGATGAAGGTTAATTTTAAACATGTTCACACAGTCACTAACAAAAATGCCCAGATTGAGGTATATATCTGAATACTTTCGGCAGATAATTTCTTTCTTTTTTTTTTTTTTTTGGCCGGGACTGGGTTTGAACCCGCCACCTCTGGCATATGGGGCCAGCACTCTACCCTTTTGAGTCACAGGTGCTGCCCAGATAATTTATTTCTCAAATTAAAAAAGAAAATTCACAATCCCAGATCCATTTGTTTTATACTCAGGAGAAGTTAGGAGAATCTAAATTAGATAAAATTTAAAAAGAATCAGAATTTATGTTGTACAGAGACTCTACTATAAATCAAATTCAAGAATGGTGGATAGAAACAATATTTCTGTGTCTACTATTAATGTCACTCTAGTATTAAATGCTAAATATAACAATAGTGCCACCATCATTTTCACTTCTGCCTTGGAATCTTGCTCCTAAATTAATACATATTCTTAAATACCTGATTTTTATATGGATCATCTCTTAAGGAATGTCTTATAGAAGAGCATTCTCTGATTAAATGCAATAGATTCTTCACAGAATTTTACAAGTGAAACCCGAGAACACAGTCAGGAAGTGTTCTGAAGGTTTTGCATACTTTAACAACTTCAATTCTTTCTTCTTGAAGAGTTTCTGATTTTCAATAAATTTTTAAAGAACATTATAATTCCACTAATGTATGTTTTTCTCCAAAATATATATATTTTTTGCTTTTTCTTAAAGACAACACTTATAATAAGAATTGCTTTACACATTTTGTTTTTTACTTTTTCTTATATAGATCCTGGGAGAAACATCATGAAGAAGTATCTTTAGAGTAAATCATGGTGTTAACACCCTATTACAATAAGTATCCAGTGTAAAAGGTACTTTTCTTTTCATTCATGTTTCTATTATAGGGTCAGGAAAACAAATACTTTACCAAACAAATACCATTGTTGCTTATTATCTGTCATATAGTACAGTAGGTAACATCATTTTTTCTTATTTTAACACTTATAAAATAGTTATTGGACTGTTGCCATAAGTTTATGGTTACTTCTCTTTACACAAGTAACCATCTATTAAGTTCTATAAGACACAGTCCTTCTAAGTTTCCCTTACTCTTTTTTAAGTCTAAGAACATCACCCAAAGCATATCAAGTGACAGAATGGTTAAGAAACTGGCTACTACAGTGAATTTTCACTATTAATAACATGGCAAAAAAAAATTATTCTTGTAAGAACCTTGTAAATATCATAAACATGTCTATCCCAAAAAAACTTGAGGAAAAGAGAAATGAGAAAGGACAACAGCTAACTTACTTGTGAAACTTCTACATCCTTGATACTCTGCTGATCACATTAACATGTTATCTAATTTAATCTTCTCAATACTTTTTGTTGTTGTTGTTGTTGTTGAGACAGAGTCTCACTATGTCGTCCTCAGTGGAGTGTTGTGACATCACAGCTGACAGCAGCCTCTCTTGGGCTTAAGCAATTCTCTTGCCTCAGCCTCCCAAGTAGCTAGGACTACCCGCCACAACGCCCGGCTACTTTTTGTTGTAATTGTCGTTGTTTAGTGGGTCTGGGCCGGGTTTGAACCTGCCAGTCTTGGTGTATGTGGGTGGGACTATAACCACTGAGCAATGGGCACAAAGCCTTCTCAATACTCTTTAAATGATATCCTCGTATTACAAATAAAGAAGAAATGTGATCAAAGTCACACAGTGATTGATTTAACGTTGTTTCTGTCCGATTTCAAGACTTGTGCTCTTTTACTACTCTATACTGTCAGTAATAGCTGATAACTTAATCAATTTGGATATTTA